ACCTCGTAACAGAGCGCTTGTTAAGTTTTAAAAGCATCGAAAATTTATCGGATCTAAACAATATACCGAAACCTTGTCCATATTATTTTATAATTAAAGCTTAATTATAATTAAATGGGGTAGCAGAACGTTGAGCTAAATTAAGATTTTTATTTTTTAAATGAAATTATAATAATTTAACTCAAGTGATAATGGTGACATGAGTAACTAAAAGAAAAAATAAAATTTTTCCGCCTAAAGCTTATGGATGTAATTAAGTAACGGCCTCTAAGTTTATATTATCTAAAGATTTAAACGATGAGATAATCTTTTGTACTAAGGACGACATTTTAAGTGAAAAATGTACTGGAAAAATAGTACTAAATTAATGGCTATAGCTAATTAGGGCTATAAAAAAAAATTTATTTTTTTTTTATAAAGCTCGCTATAGCTATAAATGAAAAGTAACCGTACCTAGAATCTGAAACAAGTAAGCTAGTAGAGAATACGAAGGCGTAAATGAGCTAACAATCATAAAGGAACTCGGCAAATTGACTACCGTAACTTCGGGATAAGGAGAGCTCATTATTCTTGATTAATATCAGGTAAAGAGGAAGAAGCATGAAATAGTGTTGTACGACTGTTTAATTAAAACACAGCACTTTGCTGAAAGATTAAAAATCTAAGTATAGAGTGTGATGTCTGCCCGGTGCCGGCTGGTTAACAGATATAATTAAATATACTAATATTTGATGTAGACGGAAACCCCGGTTAAAGGCGGCCTTAACGTGAGGGTCCTAAGGTAGCGAAATGCCTTGGCCGTTAAATGCGGTCTTGCATGAATGATGTAACGATACAACAGCTGTCTCTATGATTGACTCAGTGAAATTGGAATAGCTGTGCAGATACAGTTTACCTCTAGTTAGACGAGAAGACCCTATGCAGCTTTACTGTCACTAATTATAGAGTATGATAAACAATTTTCAGATTATAAGGTAATTGACGGCTAGCTTGTTCAGCAAGCTAGCTCTATGACAATGAGAATCCTTTATTTTTTTTTCATATGAATGAATTGGTTTAGGATTATGAGTAGGTAGCTGCTTCTGCTACTTGGCGCAAGCATTGCTTGCGTCAAGTGTCTGAAGTATGCATTCCAGCTCATGCATAGTAAATCAACCTAATTCAGCTTATTTTCCTTTCTGCCATAAGCGCATAATGATAGATTTAACTTAAATTTTGATTTATGCCGAGCCCCTCCGGGGCTACTGCAGAAATAGATAAGTACCCTTGGCTAAGGAACTATCGCTAGGGGACAGTTTATGTGGGGCACAGACCCTGTAAAGAGTAAACAGGAGTGTCTAATAATTTATAATTATTTTGTTTGCGATTTAAGATAGTGAAACTATTTTTAATCATATAAAATTATTTATATGTACATTCGTTGTATATATATTTAAAAAAAGGTAGGATTTTCACTATATAGAAATTAGAGATAATAAAAATATTAAGAATATACCTTTCAGGTAACACTAATATTTTTTAGCTATTAAGACAGGCTATCAAGCTAGGCTCTAATAGTTATGTATTAATTATCTAAAAAGCTCAACGGCTAAATCTTGCCTTACTGTTTGATTATCAACAAATCTTACAGTTGCGTAAGCAGGGCATAGGATCACAAGATGCAACAAGGAAAGATCTTGGATTATTGGAAAAGCTACGCTAGGGATGTTTGTCCTTTAATATTTTATTACACAGCGGCTTTAGTTAGCAATATTTTAGGGGCAAGCCTAAGCATACTTCGTATTCAAGAAGGCGGAGCTATATTTCATAGCCCTCCTATAAAAAAAATATTGCAGGTTAGCTAAAGCTCGATAGGTTTCACTTATCTATGCTGAGAAATAAGGATAATTAATAATATATTGGGTTAATTTCAAAAATTACTAGCTTGCATATTTTAGAAAAAAAAATAAGCTAGCTCGTAAATTTGAAGCGAAATTTATCTTAGCATAAATTATAAGATAAAGACGTTCAACGACTATAAGGTGAGTTATATGCACAGCTTGCCAATCCTTTATTATTAGGGATCAGCAAGCTAAACAATAATCCTTTTTTACACCCAACATTATTATTATATATATATATATAAAAAAGTAAAAAAAAAAGAATAAATATTTGGAAAAATGAATAAAAGTGGTAACGTAGACAAGAGCTTTAGCTTGCGCACCCCCTCTAAGATGAAAATTTATAACAATAACTTAAAACGGGGGGGAGCGGCTAAAACAATACTTTTAAAGAAAAAAATAGGTGATATAGGAATAACCAAATATTTACCTTCATTTTCTAAAGAATGAAAGAATACTATATATTCTTATAATAAAAATACATTAAAGAATATACCAGTTAATGATTTAAATATAAACAAAATAATAAAAGGTTATTTTAATTTATATTTTAAAGATCATAAATATACAGGATCTAAATTTATATTATTAAAAAGAAGACGTAATTTATTAAGAAGAATACATGTAAGTAATGCGGAAATTAAACATACTAATAATAAAGCAATAATTACGCTATATACTTTAAATAGAGAAAAAAATGTATTAAAAAAAAAATATTTAAAAATAAATAAAAAAATAAGTAAAAAATTAATAGCCAAACGTTATTTTTTATTATATAAAAAAAATATAAAAAAAATTTATAAAATCTTAGGTGAATATAAAGATCAATATATATTTATTAGTGATATAATAAGAAAAACGAAATTTATAAAGTATAAACTAGAATATTTAAATAAATTTATAAAATTAAAAGATCTTTATTTAAAAAAAGTTTGAGGTGTTATTCTTAACCAATATGCTAGAAAATATCTAAAATACTTAAGAAAATATGATTTATTATATTCTCTTAATCAATATAAATTCAACAGATTGGTGTTTTTACCTATATTAAGTAATATATTAAATAAAATTATAGGAAAAAAAATAGAATATAATATAATTAATTTAAAATCTGTTGCATATCATACAGATCTTTTTACTAATGCATTAGCATTAAAATTAAGAAAAAGAAGAATAAATTATATAAATTCTATGTTTAGTATTTTAAATAGAGCATATTTACCTAATATTAACACGATTAAAGAAAGATCTATAATAAAAGGTGATAAAAAAATGGACCTATTTCAAGGTAAATTTAAAGATTTAAAAATAATTTCTAATATGAATGCTTCGAATATTCCTGCCTTGCAGGAATTAGAAGCGCCCTCATTATCTAAACTGTTAGATGGTGCATATTCTTCAGATGTAAATATAGGTGGTACGGTAACTTCGTTCACGCAAGCGAACGAAAATATCCATAATACCATTTATAATTCTATTGGATATAAAAACATGGGAGGTATAAGATTAGAAGTTAAAGGTAGATTAACTAAACGTTATAGAGCGGATAGATCTGTCTATTCATTAAAATGAAAAGGAGGATTAAAAAATATAGATTCTTCTTTTAGAGGTTTAAGTTCAGTTTTATTTAGAGGTAATTCTAAATCAAATGTAACTTATTCAATAGCTAAATCAAAACGTCGTATTGGAGCCTTTGCAGTAAAAGGTTGAATAGGCGGTAAATAAAGGCGCTATTTTCTTATCCATGCATTAGTTAGTACGAGGGGTAGACTTAGTTAGCCCGCTCCCTAGCTAAAGCTAGGAATTACAGAAAATCGCCCTAGCTTTATTCTAGGACATAACTGGAAAAATATATATATATAATAATAATGAAGACATAGTCTGAACCGTTTTGAAAAAAATGGAAATATAAGTGCTAGCACCGCACTTTTATGATAACACATAGAACAGGCTAATTTGCGCAAGAGTGTACAAAATGAGTGCGCGGTTTGGCACCTCGATGTCGGCTTAACTTATCCTCATGGATGCAGGAACTATGTAGGGTGCGACTGTTCGTCGATTAAAAAGTTACATGAGCTGGGTTAAATACGTCGTGAGACAGTATGGTTTCTATCTTCTAGGGGGAATTAGAATATAATAAGAACTAACTTTTGTACGAAAGGAACAAGAAGAATTTAATTTGTAAAAGGGTTAAATAATAGTTACTAACCTATGGTTTACCTGTTGTCTATGTGCCCAAATATTAAAATATATATATGGAGGAAGCTCCTTAAGAGCTTCCCCCGCAAATTATATATATCTGTATAGCTAGCCTGCGGACTCCGGTTATGCCTGAGTTTGGCAAGCTAAAGCTATACATAGGGATGTTTCTTTCACTAAGATAAATATATAGCATAGGCACGGCAGGAAAGCTAAGTTGGTTAAGGATAAGTGCTGAAAGCATATAGGCACGAAGCTTATCTTAAGATATTTCTTAAATATACGTAAAATATTATTACGAAGGATGTAATATAGGCTTTATCCGTACGAATCAGGAGATTTTTAAGAATAAAGTACTAATTTTATAAATAACTATTTATACATATATCACATTTACAATGCATGCATATTTTTGCTACACAGATACATTCCTGCACTAGCTAGCATTAGCTAGTGCTAGGGAGTACATAAGGAATTACACAAATTAGCTAACCATAGCAGCATATATATGCTATTAAATAAGCTAGGGGGAAGCTAAAGCTCGCTCTTCATGCTTTTAGCTAGAAATAGAGCTAGCTAAAACCTTAAGAGGTAAAAAAAATGTATTTTTTTTTTT